TGGACCAACTTGAATGGCGATTCGTGCTGGGAGTTCAGCTTGAATCTTTTCCATAGTCGGGTCGTGCCATTCCGTTCCTTCACGGCGAGCGGCAATCCGTCGCGCAGACTCAGCATCCAGTCGTTTTTCCAGCTCGGCAGCGGCCTGAAAGGAACAGTGACAGTCAAGTAAAGCGCAAGTCGTTCACCTCGACCGCTGAATCACTCAGTTGTGACTCAGAGCTGAGTCACTCACACTTCAGCGAAAAAATTCTTCAATTATAGAAACGGCACTTATGAATAAAAAGACGACATAACCATTACCTTTTCACACGCCGTCTTCACTATGAAGTTTGTGGTCAATTCGATGTTATCCTGTGTAATTGCCCGCGCCGCTTCATCGATCATCTTCGACTAAATCATGAGAATAATTCTCAGGGAACATGTGAGCGATCTATCATCTCCAAAATTAAATTTTAGCAGAGGATTTCGCAAGAAAATCCTTTTTGCAGCATAGTTGCACTGACAAACAAGTGACAAGGACGTGACTGCAACAAGGCACGTCGCACGTTGTACAGTCGCCAAGAGAGGGGTCGTATCTGAGTTGGAAGGAAAGGTGGTCATGTTTAGCCTCGGGAAAACTTCCCGCTCGCTAGTTCTCCTGTTTCACGCACGACAGATGAAGGCGGGCGCGGCAAAATTACTAATCCGTAGTTTCTACCTCTTCCAGACCGATGGCGAAATTTTGCAAGAACGCGGGTAGGATGTGAGAGCAGCGCTGTAGCAGCAGCTGCTACTGCACGAGGGGGGAGTGGTATTTCGTTGAATTTTCGCTAGTGCCAGATCGTGCCCTAATTACGAGGTCCCCTCAAGTTAGTGGGGAAATCAGCGAGTCCTCGAACCGACATTATACTCTAGCTAGTCGACTGTCGATAAACTGCGAAAATTCCATGCTAAATAAATTAGGTCCTGGTCAATGCGGTGCAAGCGAGCTACCATGTAATGCCACTGTCGCCGTTGTGAGGATGCCATGTCCTACAGCCAAATGGAACCGAGACCGCTCGCAGCGCACCACGAACATTCACCGCATGAAGCTCGTTCATACATTACGAGTTTAGAGAATATGCTATTGGGCGGAGTCAGCCATTTCGGGTCACGGGTTTTCAGATATTTCGAACTTCCCTGTTTTTTTTATGTATGAACGCGGCCTCTGATAGGTCATGGCTACTTACAGGTTTCTGATGAAGTGCGCCGTCAGGACGTCAAAAGGAAGCAAGAATATAAAAATAACCCCTAAAAACCTCCTAAAAACACTGCGTTACAGCTTCCCTGAAATTGAGGGCACGACGCCTCCATAAATGAAAGTTGCGTGTTGCCATGGCCAGGGGGCGAGGCCGCGGCCTCGTTGCCGGTCGTGCTTTCTTCACGTATTTTTGAGCTGCGAAAGTAGTGAAAGCAAGCTTCTATTCTTACGGAATCCCATCTCCGAAAATGCCTCTGAACATCAAACGAAGGCAGGGTAGGCCCTTGAGGAAGGGGCTCTATGCGCTTCATGACGACGTAATGTCAACCACAGTATTGATTAGGACTAACCAGTTCAGAATTTGATGTTCGAAGAGAATTGGTGAACGACTGCTGCAGCAAGGACGCCATTGTGCCAGCCAAAGGATCACGGCAGGTGATCATCGCCATACCAGCTGTCATAGCACGCATCTGCAATTAAGGAATTTAAAAACAACCGAATAAAATCAATAAATATAATCAATACAAAATCTCGGGCATTTCGGCTAGAGGATACCAGTCATCGCTTGTAGAACTCTTGTGAAGAATACCTGTCAACACTTGTAAAGCAGCGTACATGACAACGGGAAGCACCGAGAGTGTTAAATGCCCCCCCCTTTCTAGCCGAGGCGAAGCTGAAAAAATCTGACAGAACAACTGAAAAATCGAACATGGTGAAATGCAGGCTTCTTCAAGTTGGTTCTCATCGGGTCAAAGCAAAGTCTTTGCGAACGAGTTGAGTTTCGGTGACAATCATGCAATCTTCTCGTGCTTCGTTAGCCACCTGGCGCTAGACAACGACTTGTTTCAGATAAGGAACACAGTGGGAATAAGAATAAATGTGGCTGGCTAAAAAATTGTTTCAAAATCAACGGATGAGTTCTTGATGCTGAGTGAGTGCAGGTGAACATGATGCTTCATTTGTGGTGGAGCTAAATTTTTAAAGAATCGTGTAAATATAAGCAGGTGTGGAGCTAAATAAAAAGTGTAAATATACAGCTTAGATGGTACGTCTCAACAAAATCTTCGTCCGATAAAAGAAAACTCACCTGGAACAACGGTAGTGACAGCTGGAACTTGATATGAGGAATAAGTCCCTCATATGATGTCACGTTGATATCATGGTAAGCAAAATGAAGCGGTGGTACGATCACAGCACTGGCCGTGCCATCAACAATTGCTGACGAGCCTTCCGATTCAGGATTCGGGGTCGAAGGCTGAAACCACAGCCATTGCTGCTCAGTCCAAAAAAAAAACGTTGAAGTCATCGCTGTTAGTACTAACCTTCGTGTCCGCTCCGGGAGCCGACACTGCATCCGGGGCAAGTCGCATTTGCCCCGGGACAGGACTGCTATTAGCTTGATCGGGCTGTGAGAGGGTTTTCAGGTCTGATAGTTGCTGCGTCACTCTCACAAGGCGATCAGTGTCTTTCAGCAAGCCTTCGATTGGTAATGATTCCAAATCCACTGATAGCTCTTTACACAACACCTGGAACGATTTTGTGAGCGCGATTACAAATATTTTGAAAACGGTAGCTTCACATCCGTTCATAGTTCGTGATGACGCGCGTTGGCGCGCTGCCATTGCAGCGGCGCTACAATGCAGACAAGTATCGATCGGTGCCGGCCACTTGTATTTTGATAGAGTTTAGAATAAGGAGGGTAGCCGTCATCATACAACCTCCGGCCTGTCCAAGGCATCTACGCGCGTCATCGCAAAGTCTGAACGCTGCATGAACTGCTCCTTGAGTGAGCACGAAATCCTGCACGTGCGATTGTGAAACAGTGCCCCGACAAATAAAATGGCTAATCAAGTTAGAAATCTAGCTAAACTAAGGAACGCGACTTGAACTTGTCATCCATCATTGCATAAAACTGCATGGACAGGACGCGCCAATCCCTGGAATCGGTGAATCAAATAGCCCTGAGCTCACCTCAATTTCGAATTTCAAATTGATCTTCAAATCTGGTTCATTATGTAGTTCTGCTAACACTTTCAATATGGAACGTATCCAAGCACATGTGGCACTGAATAGCTGAAATATGGAAATGATTGGATGACATTCTTGCTTCAACGTCTTTTCTCTTTGCCTTCTTAAGAGTACACCAATAAGAAAGCCTGGCAAAGCATACGAGTCTCCGCCCACCCGGTTATCGCGGAATGTGCATGCCTCCAGTATACAGAAACTTTCGAACAAATTCTGCCGGACAAAAAAAATTATTTGCTAACCTGCGTTTTACCACACGAGAACAGGATTTTCGCAATGAATGGAACGACAAATAGCAGTTCTTGTTGTCCTTTATAGTACGCTTCCATGAAGCAGTGCTTTCAGATCCAATTCCTGAAATTCCGTCATGACTTCGGGCTCTTTCTTGCTTGAAGGGTTATGAGAACGCTTACAGAAGCCATTTTAACACATAAGGCGACGATGTATCCTAATGCGGTGCAATAAAACTTCAGTGGGAATGTCGATACAAAAAAAGCCGGCACCATTTACCCTTGACTGCCCCGCTCTTTGAAATCTTGGCCAAATTTCGATTGAAACTTCACTCGTTGAGTAGATTTGGCTAGAATCTCGCTCCTGAGGTACTTTGACCTCTGGAACACGGGAAACGCGTCTGCTTGGCCAAAACTACCTGGCGTTCGCGCCACTACACAAATATCTCACTAACTTGGCGTGAAACATGCGCTTTGGAACCTGATGCCAAAACTAACT